TCGGCCCTGTCACTCTCCCTCTCTCGGCCCGGTCACTCTCTCGGCCCTGTCACACTTTTTCTCTCTCTCTGCGCTGTCACTCTCTCTCTCTCGGCCCTGTCACACTTTCTCTCTCTCTGCCCTGTCACGCTTTCTGTCTCCCTGCCCTGTCGCATTCCCTGCCCTGTCACATATTTATTCTCCCACTCTGCACTGTTACAGTTTATGCTGTCACAATTTCTTGAAGGGATCAATGTGAAATGACAGCGAGTATGGAAGGTGCGAAGAGGGGAGGTGATGCAAGACAAGAAATACTGAGGAGGTCAGCCCAGAGTGAAGGGGCTGGAATATGGGCCTCAGGGAAGGCCCTGGTGTCACTATTGACAGGGTGGGGGTGGGGGTGGGGACGGGACTGAGAGCTACCCACATGTGTGTGAGAGTTTAACCTGAAACCATTCTCCTTGTCTCCTGCAGAACTCATCCTGGAGACGAAAACCACAACAGTCGCCCCGCCTGCGGTCAGTCCCAGGCCTAGGCCAACTGGGGCCTCAACGCACAGGCCCAAGACAGGTCGGAAAGAGAAAAGCCAGGCCAGAACAATCACGACCACCACCACTGCCACGGCCCCTCGGCCTCCTACTTTGAGCTGGCGCTGGGAGAAGCCGGGCCCACTGACCACCAAACCCCCACCCGGCAGCCAGAGGCCGCCAACGGAGGTGGAGAGAGGCCAGGGGCCGGGAGCAGCCGGGGGTCAGGGGTCAAAGGCGGGAAAGAGGAGGCGTGGGCGTCCGCGGGAGGGGACGGTGCGGCTGGCGGGGACCAGGAGGCAGCACCAGAGGAGGAGGAGGAGGAGGCTGGGCGAAGGGAGGGTCGAGGTCTACATTGGCGGGCAGTGGGGCACCATCTGCAGCAGCTCGTGGAACTCCAAGTCTGCGGCGGTGGTCTGCCACCAGCTGGGCTACCGGGGCGCGGCCAGGGCAACCGGCAAGTCGGAGTTCGGGCCCAGCATTCTGCCCATCCTCCTGGACGGCGTGAGGTGTGAGGGCACCGAGAGAAGCCTCTTGCGGTGCCGTCATGGGCCCCTGGGGAAACACAGCTGCTCGCGCGGGCAGGTGGCTGGCGTCGTGTGCCACGCCAAACGCCAAACCTAACCCGCATGCAAACAGGCCCATCGGCCCATCACGACCACGACCAGGAAGTCGGTGCGGCTCAGACACTGACCCTTCAGGCCATCATGTCTGTGCTGACCACAGTGCCATTGTAAAGCTGTACAGCACGGAAACAAGCCCTTTGGCCCAACCCATCCATGCTGACCGGGTTTCCTGATCTGATCTAGCTCCATTTTCCTGTGTTTGGCCCATATCGATCTAAACCTTCCCTTATTAATGTACCTGCCCAAATGTCTGTTAAATGTTGTAACTGTGCCCACCTCCAATCTTCCTCCAGCAGCTCGTCCCATCTGCACACCACCCTCTGCGTGGAAAAGTTTCCCCTCGGGTCTCTTTTCAATCCTTCCCCTCTCACCTTTAAACCAATACTCTTTAGTTTTAGACTCCCCTACCCTGGAGAAAAGACCTTTTGCAATTTACCTGATCTACATCCCTCATGATTTTATAAACCTCTATAAAGTCACCCCTCAGCCTCCTAAACTCCAGGGGAGAAAAATCTCAGCCTATCCTGCCTCTCCTTATAACTCAAACCTTCCAGTCTCCAATCTAAACTAATCCCAGCTGCCTACACATGGTACATGGTTCATATCCCTCTATTCTGTTCCTTTTCATGTCTAAATGGATCTTAATCATTGCTATCAGGTCTGTTTCCACCATCTCCCCTGGCAGTGCGTTCCAAGCACTTATCACCCTCTGCACAAAATACCTTTCTCCCACATCTCCTTTAAACTTTCCCCTTTTATCTTAGAACTGCCCCCCCCCTCAACAAAGTAATTGACATTTCCACCCTGGGGAGAAAGACTCCGACTATCCACCTATCCACGCCGCTTATTATATACTTCTTTCAGGTTGTCCCTCAGCCTTTGATGCTCTAACGAAAATGATCCAAGTTTATCCAACCTCCCCTTCTTGCTCCTACACTCCAATCCCGGGCAACACCCTGGTAAATCTCTTTTGCACCCTCTCCAAAACCTTTGCATCCTTTCTGTAGTGCGGGGACCAGAACAATACTCCAAACTTGGCCTAACTAAACTCTTAAATAGTTGCAAAATGACTTGCCAACTTTTATGCTCAATGGCCCAACCGATGAAAGCAAGCATACCATACACCTTCCTTACCACCTTATCCAGTCATGTTGCTGCTTTCAGGGAGCTACGGACCCCAACAGGTCCATAGCACCAATAATTCTCAGATAACTCAAGATTCATACAACATAGAAACAGGCCTTTTGGCCCATCATGTCTATGCGAACCAACAAACACCAAACTATGCTGCTCCCATTTATTGGCACTTGGTCCATAGCCGATTATGCCCCCAGCAATTCAAGTGCTCATCCAGATTCTTCTCAAAGTTGAGACTGCTTGTCTCTACTACTCTCTAAGGCAAGATGTCTTGTTTCTGAAAATAAACAAAGCAACTCACTGTTGTAGTCTTTTTGCCTCTCGTGGACATTTCCCTAATTATTTAGGGGAGGTGATGGCCTACTGGTTCAAATCCCGCCATGGCAGATGGTGGAATTTAAACTCAATAAAAATTCAGGAATTAGGGTCTAATAATGACCATGGAACTGTGAGATAGCAAAAACTGAAGATGCTGGAGTCAGAGATAACACAGTGTGGAGCTGGAGGAACACAGCAGGTCAGCAGCATCAGAGGAGCAGGAAAGTCAATGTTTCAGGTCAGGACACTTCTTCAAAACCTTTCGGAGAAGGGTCCCGACCCAAAACGTCGACTTTCCTGTTCCTCTGATGCTGCCCGACCTGCTGTGTTTCTCCAGCTCCACACTGTGTTGACCATGGAACTGTTGCTGTTTGTCAGAAAAACCCATCTCGTTCACTAATGTCCTCTAGGGAAGGAAATCTACCATTCTTACCTGGTCTGGCCTATATGTGTCCCTAGACCCACAGCAATGTGGTTGACTCTCTAGGTAGGGATGGACAATAAATGCTGGCCTGATCAGCAGTGTCCACATCCCATGCATGTACTTAAAAAAAAATTCTGTGCAGGGATGTTATAACACACTCTCTGGAGAAGGATGGACTTGAACTGGGCCTCCTGTCCTAGAGGTAGGGCCACTACCACAGCACCACAAGCATCTTCGCTTTCCTGCAGAAACTGAGACTATTAAGTGAGGGCTATATTACACTCATAGTATATTGCAGAAGTGAATATTGCCCTAGGTATGCATTGCAGGAAGAATATATTGGACTGTGTGCATATTACAGGAGAAATAAATAGCAAGTGTATTTTAAATGAGGGGTATATTACAGGAGGAATATAGGATGAATGTATTTTCCATGAGGTGTATATTAATTCGGACAACATGAGATGATGCATTTTGGAAGGTCAAGTACTGATGGAAATTATACAGTGAATGGCAGAACTCTTCAGAGTATCGATAGGCAGAGGGATCTGAGTGTGCAGGTCCACAAATTATTGAAGGTGGCAGAGGAAGTAGATCAGGTAGTAAAAAAGGCCTATGGCATGCTTGCCTGCATTGGAGGGGGGCATTGAGTATAAAGGATAGACAAGTTATGCTGCAGCTTTATAGGACTTTAGTTAGGCCACATTTGGAATATTGCATACAGTTCTGGTCACACACTACCAGAACAACGTGGATGCTTTGGAGAGCGTACAGCAAATGTTTACCAGGAATGTTAGATAACAAGGTGTAGAGCTGGATGAACACAGCAGGCCAAGCAGCATCAGAGGAGCAGGAAGGCTGACGTTTCGGGCCTACACCCTTCTTCAGAAATGGGGGAGGGGAAGGGGGTTCTAAAATAAATAGGGAGAGAGGGGGAGGCGGATAGAAGATGGATAGAGGAGGGGATAGGTGGAGAGGAGACAGACAGGTCGAAGAGGAGGGGATGGAGCCAGTAAAGGTGAGTGTAGGTGGAGAGGTAGGGAGGAGATAGGTCAGTCCAGGGAATGTTGCCTGGTATGGAGGATTTTAGCTATGAAGAAAGTTTGGATAGACTAGGTTTGTTTTCACTGGAACTCGGGAGGTTGAGGGGCGACCTGATAGAAGTTTGTAACATTGTGACTGGCATGGATAGAGAGGAAAGTATGAGGCTTTTTCCCAGGATGGAGGGGGTCAGTTACTAGGGGACACGAGTTCAAGGTGCGGGGTAGGGGGGGAATGTTTAAAAGAGATATGTGAGGCACGTTTTTCACACAAAGAGTGGGGAGTGCCTGGAACGTGCTGCCAGAGGAGGTGGTGGAAGCAGGCACAATTGTAGACAAAAAAAACCTGCAGACACTGGAGCCCAAAGTAGACAAACAGGAGGCTGGAAGAACATAGCAAGCCAGGCAGCATCTGGAGGAAAGGAGCAGCCAACGTTTCGGGTACTACCCTTCTTCAGGACACAATAGCAGCTTTCAAGAAACACCTGGTCAAATACAGGAATAGGAAGGAAATAGAGGGATACAGATCCCGTAAGTGGAGACTGTTTTAGTATGGAAGGGCAAAATGTGTCAACACAGACTTGGAGGGCCGAAGGGCCTGTTCCTGTGCTGTATTATACTTTTGATTACATTGAGCGTGTATTACAGGAGGAACATAGGATTAGTGTATTTCACATGAGGTGTATATTACACTGAGTACATATTAAGTGGTGGATGTCTTGCAATGAGTGTATATTAGAGTAAGTGTGTGGTGCAATGAGACTGTATTATATACAAGTATATTATACATTGAGTGTATATTACAGGACGGTTTTATGACAAACTTTGGATTCCGCCAACCCCACCGAGATCTTTGTCATGTGCCGCTACTTCAAAAAGCCAGCCCAAGTATCATCCTTTTGAAATGTACAAGTCTCCAGCGAGTTCCGAAGAAAGAGTCATAGCGGACTCAAAACGTGAATTCTGTTTTCTCTTTTTGCAGATGCTGCCAGACGCGTTGTGTTTTCTCCAACATTCTACACTTTTGATGCCAATTGTTCCACTTTCATTCATTCACAGAAAGTATAGCTTCCCTCCCGTGACGTCGCTCTGCATTAGTTTCAGAGGGGCTAGAGGCCAGGGAAGTCATTGAAGCAGGGCCTCCAATGTAACTGGATTCCGTATCAAACTTATAATTCGTGTCCTTCTCGTAGCATCTTACAGCTGAGATGGAGGCCATTCAGCCCAGTGTTTCTGTGCCAGATCTTTGACAGAGCATCCAAACAATTCCACTTCCTTGATAGTAGGAACTGCAGATCTTGGAGAATCTGAGATAACAAGGTGTAGAGCTGGATGAACACAGCAGGCCAAGCAGCATCAGAGGAGCAGGAAGGCTGATGTTTCGGGCCTAGACCCTTCTTCAGAAATAGGGGAGGGGAAGGGGGTTCTGAAATAAATAGGGAGAGAGGGGGAGGCGGATAGAAGATGGATACAGGAGAAGATAGGTGGAGAGGAGACAGACAGGTCAAAGAGGCGGGGATCCTGAGTATACACTGAGTATATATTACATGACGGATATATTCTATGGCTGTATATTACAGGAAGACATACACAAGTGTTTATTATGGGACAATTTATTTCAATGGGGTATATTACAAGCAGAATATGTTTACTACAGTGAAAATGTATTCCACGGTGGGGGGCATATTATATAAGGGATATATTACACTCTTTTAAATTCACTCATTAGACATGGGCGTTGCTAACAGGCCAGCATTTATTGCCCAATCCTAGTTGCCCTTGAGAAGGTGGGGGTGAGGTGAAATCTTGAACTGCTGCAGTCCACCTGCTGGGGGGTTGACACACAATGCCCTTAGGGAGGGAATTCCAGGATTTTGACCTTGAAAGAACGGCGATATATTTCGAAGTCAGGATGGTGAGGGGCTCGGAGGGGAACTTGCAGGGGGTGGTGTCCACATATATCTGCTGTCCTTGTCCTTCTAGATGGAAGTGGCCATGGGTTTGGAAGGTGCTGTCTGAGGATCTTTGGTGAATTTCTGCAGTGCATCTTGTAGATGGTACACACTGTTGCTACTGAGCATCGGTGGTGGAGGGAGTGGATGTGGAAGCAATCAAGCGGGGGCTGCTTTGTCCTGGATGGTGTTGAGCTTCTTGAGTGTTGTTGGGGCTGCACTCATCCAGGCAAGTGGGGAGTATTCCATCACACTCCTGACTTGTGCCTTGTAGATGGTGGGACAGACTTTCGGGAGTCAGGAGGTGAATTATTTGCCGCAGTATTCCTAGTTTCTGACCTGCTCTTGTGGCTGCTATGTTTATGTGGTGAGTCCAGTTGAGTTTCTGGTCAATGGTAACCCCCAAGATGTTGATAGTGGGGGACTCAGTGATGGTAACACCATTGAATGTCAAGGTGCATTCGTTAGATTATCCCTTATTGATGATGGTCATGGCCTGGCATTTGTGTGGCGCAAATGTTAGTTGCCACTCGTTAGCCCAAGCCTGGAAATTGCATTCAAACATGGGCTGCTTCAGTATTTGAGGAGTTACAAATGTTGCTGAACATTGTGCAATCATCGGTGAACATCCCCACTTCCGACCTTATGATGGAGGGAAGATCATTGATGAAGCAGCTGAGGATGGTTGGTTCTAGGGCTCTACACTGAAGAATTCCTGGAGAGATGCCCTGGAGCTGAGACGATTGACCTCCAATAACCCCGACCATCTTCCTATATGCCAGGTATGACTCCAACTAACTGAGAGTTTGCCCCCTGATTCCAATTTTGCAAGGGCTTCATAATGCTACACTCGGTCAAACGTGACCTTGATGTCTAAGGCTGTCACTCTCAGCTCACTCTGGAAGTCAGCTCTTTTGTCCATGTTTGAACTAAGGCTGTAATGGGGTCAGGAGCTGAGTGACCCTGGCGGAACCCAAACTGGGCATCACTGAGCAGGTTCTGCTTGATAGAACTGTTGGTGACACCTTCCATCACTTTACTGATGATCAAGAGTCGTGAATATTACACTAAATATACATTACAGAAAGAATATATTACACAGAGTGTATATTACGGGAGGAATATGTGAGAAGTGTATTTCACATGAGAGGTTTGTTACATAGAATCCCTACAATGTAGAAACAGGCCCTTCGGCCCAACAAGTCCACTCCAACACTTGGAGCATCCCACCCAGACCCATCCCCTTATAACTCACCTAAGCTGAATACTAGGGGCAATTTAGCATGGCCAATCCACCCTAGCCTGCACATCTTGGACTGTGGGAGGAAACCGGAGCACCCGGAGGAAACCCACGCAGGCACGGGGAGAATGTGCAAACTCCACACAGTCGCCCGAGGGTGGAATCAAACCCGGGTCCCTGGCACTGTGAGGCAGCAGTGCTAACCACTGAGCCACCGTGCCACCCATTGAGTGTTATTACAGAAGGGTATATTATCATGAATGTATATTGCAGGAAGTCTTACACGGAGTGCATATTGTAGGAGGGATACATTATAATAAGCATATATTGCATTGAGTCTATGTTACAGGACGGATAGTGTACACTGTGTGGGGTTGCTAGCCCAGTTGGCGAAGATACACCAATAGCCTAAGTTCAATTCCCATCACCAACTGTGGTTACCACAAAAGGCCCACCTTCTCAACCACTCCCCTTGCCTGAGATGAGGTGGTCCTCAAGTAAAACTCACCAACATACATCTCTCTCTAATGAGAGAGCAGCCCCTGATTCTCTGCATGTATGGCTACTTTATGGCAGTGAAATCATTCTGTAATAGACAAATGCAGTGTCTATTACAGTGTGTATATTACAAAGTGTATATTACAGGATGCTTTACTATGTCTGTATGTTAGAGAGTGTATATTACAGGATGATTTACACTGTATATTACAGGATATTTACACTCTGTATATAAGAGATTGTACATTATAGGATGATTTACACTGTATATTACAGAGTGTACATTAAAGGATATTTATGCTGTCTGTATATTACAGAGTGTATATTATAGGATGGTTTGCACTGTATATTAGAGTGTATCTAAAAGATAATTTACGCTGTCTGTATATTACAGGATGATTTACACTGTATTTTACAGTAAGAATGTATTACACAGTGTGTATTATAGAAAAATGTACAGTAGGATGTAAATTACAGGAAGATTATGCTACACTGTGTTTAAAATTACCAGAAAGGTGAGATTGTTATAGGCGTTTTCCTCATAGTGTCACAGCGCCGCTGGGGCAGAGACCTGAGCTTCTCAGACCAGCGGAAACTCAAGCTGTGGCAAAGTTCTGGGCTCGGTGCGGGTTCTGGGCTCTCCGACAGGGGGGATGGCCAAGTGTGGTTTCCTCTGGGTGTCTCTTTTCTACCTGTGTTACCTGCTGCTGGGGGCAGTGGTGGTGTCCCTGATAGAGCAACCCTACGAACGCAGCCTTCGGGAGAAACTGCGCTCCTTGAAGCTTGGGCTTCTGAACGGGAACCCCTGCTTGGCCGAACCCGACCTCGAACGCTTCCTGGTGCGGGCACTGGAGGCCCGTCGATACGGTGTCTCCGTCTTTGGCAACACATCACATACCAACTGGGACTTCGCCTCTGCTTTCTTCTTTGCTGGCACCTTGGTCACCACAGTAGGTGTGTGTAAAAGCATTTTTATTTCTGAAACGTCTATCGATAACATTTCGAGATAGTTAACGTAAACTTTTTAATACGTTCAGAAAAGTTGTTCAACATTGAAAAAAGTTCCAACCAAAAAAAATTTAACATTTAATCAAATTGTTCAACATTTGAAAAAGAATTTTTTTTAAAAAAAATTCAACGATTAGTAAAGTTTTTAAAAGATGTCCAACATTTGAAGAAAAATTAAAAAGTTTTTCAATAATTTATAAAGTTTTTGAAAATTGACCAACATTTTAAAAAGTTATTTTAAATGATTTTCAGCAATTGATAACGTTTTTTGTTAAGAAAAAGTTCAATATTTAATCAAGTTGTTAAAGGTTGTTCAACATTTGAAAAAGTTTCTTTTGGAAAACAATTGATAAAGTTTTTTAAGATGTTGTCCAGCATTTGAAAAGGTTTTTAAAATAGTTTTTGAGATTTAATCAAGTTGTTAGAAGTTCTTCAACTTTTTTTTTAAAAGAAGTTTTCAACAATTTATAAAGTTTTTAAAAATTGTCCAACATTTTTTTAGATAAGCCCCACAACGTGGGAACAGGCCATTCGGCCCAACAAGTCCACACCGACCCTCTGAAGGACATCCCACCCAGACCCATCCCCCTTCTCTATTCCTGTAACCCTGCATTTCACATGGCTAACCCAGCTGGCTACACATCCCTGGACTCTGTGGGTAATTTAGCACGGCCAATCCACCCTAACCTGCATGTCTTTGAGCTGAGGGAGAAGACCGGAGCACCCGGAGGAAACTGTAGACATGGAGAATGTGCAAAATCCACACAGATAATTTATCTGAGGCTGTGAGGCAGCAGTGCGAACCACCGAACTACCATGCTTCCCCACATTTTCAGCAATTCATAAAGTTTATAGAAAGTTGTCCAACAATTGTATATTTTGTTTAAAATGTTTTTCAACATTTGGTCAAATCTATTACAAATCAATCGTTTGAAAACCGTTTTTTATTGTTTTCAATATTTGATAGTTTATTAGAAGTTTTATTTTTGAGAAAAGGTTTTATAATCTATTTTCAATATTTAGGAGTTTTACAGAATAAGTAATTTCAATAAGTTTACTTGAACTTTCTTTTAACATTCACAAGAAGTTTTTAGTAAGTTCCTCAATGTTTGGAAAAAGCTTCTTAAAATGTTTTCCAGTGCTTTTAAAAAAGCTCTTAAGTTTTCCTAAAAGTGTTTACGTACATTTGAACAATGCATTTTTGCCTTTCAACAACTGGGAGGTGAGGAGACTGTTTTTAAGCAGTGATCGCTACCATGTGGAATGTGCTGACTGAGAGGGTAGAGGAAGCAGGTCCAATAAGTTAAAAAAGAATCAGACACATAAAAGGAAATATTTGTACGGCTGTGGAAAATGAGTTCTTGCATTGAGCTAGTAGAGTCATGGGCTGAATGGCCTCTTGCTATGCCATATCATTTGTTTGACTGGTTTGTGATGCAGACTGATGCCAACAGCATGGGTTCAATTCCCTCACTGGCTGAAGTTGCCATGAAGGACTCTCCTCCTCAACCTCCTGTTGCCAGGGTTGGAGAGTTTGAGCTGTAGGGAGAGGCTGAATAAGCCGGGGCTATTTTCCCTGGAGCGTCGGAGGCTGAGGGGTGACCTTATAGAGGTTTATAAAATCATAAGGGGCATGGATAGGGTGAATAGGCAACGTCTTTTCCCCAGGGTAGGGGAATCCAAAACTAGACGGTACTGGTTTAAGGTGAGAGGGGAAAGATTTAAAAGGGGCAACTTTTTCATGCAGAGGGTGGTGCATGTATGGAATGAGCAGCCAGGGGGAGTGGTGGAGGCTGGTACAATTACAACATTTAAAAGGCATCTGGCTGGGTATGTGAATGGGAAGGGTTTGGAGGGATATGAGCCAATGTTGGCAAACGGGACCAGATGAATTTAGGATATCTGGTTGGTATGGACAAATGGGACCGAAGAGTCTATTTCTGTGCTGTACATCTCTGTGACTCTAGCTCATTCCATACACACATCACCCTCTGCATGAAAATGTTGCCCCTGAGGACCCTTTTATATCTTTCCGCTCTCATCTTAAACCTACGCCCTCTAGTTTGGCCTCTCCTACCCTGGGGAAAAGACCTTGGCTATTTACCCTTTCCATGCCCTCATGATTTTATTAACCTCTATAAAGGTCACCCCTCAACCCCTGACGCTCCAGGGAAAATAGCACCGGCTTATTCAGCCTCTCCCTACAGGTCAAACTCTCCAACCCTGGCAACATCCTTGTGAGTCTTTTCTGAACCCTTTCAACATCCTTCCTTTGGTAAGGAGACCTGAACCGAACACAGTATTCCAAACGTGGCCTCACCAATGTCCTCATTGCTGAATGGCTCCAGACCAGGCAACATCCTGGTGTATCTCCACTGCACGCCCTCCAATGCAATCGGTTTTGGCTGCATTTGTGGTCATTGACATCTCTAGAGTGTTCGGAACACCAGATGCTCGCCGGTTAATATTCCAATCTTTCCGTTTAGCTCACGATACAGTACCTCCCACTATTCCTGCATAGGGAAACCAGTCAACAGGAATAACAGTTTGTTCCTGATGAGATCTATAAAGAAAAGGTCCAGTTTGCCACGTTGGCTACGTACAAAATAACAAGGGCTTCCAACAAGTATTTAAAGCATCCAAAATGCAGTCCTGTCAAATTTCAGAAACACAACATAATGTATGATTGACACAAACACAGAGATTACTGGAGAAATTCAGCAGGTTTGGCATCATCTGTGGAGATAGAGAAACAGTCAGCATTTTGAGTCTGGTCTGACTCTTCCTCAGAACTGAATCAACCGGACTTGAAACGTTAGTAAGTGCAAAGGTGCATATGCAAGTGAGGGTGCATGACTGTAAATATGTGTGTGAATGTGTGCACGTTCCAGTGTTTGTATTTGAGAGTGCGCAGGGCTTTGAAGTGTGATAATGAGGACATATACAAGATAATGGGCACATGAGTGAGTATGCAAGTGTATTCATGTGTGTGTTTGCATGTGAGTGTGTGCCTGTGTGAATGTACATGTGTGCACGTGTGAGTGTGTTTGCATGTATATGTGTGTGTGCGCACGTGAGGGTGTGTGCGTATTTGCATGTATATATGCGTGTGTGCGCGTGTGATTGTGTGCAAGTGTGTGTGCACACATGCAAGCCTGCACGTGCAAGTGTGTGTGCACATGTGTGTGCGAGTGTGTGAGCGTGCATGCGTGAGTGTTCGTGCACATGTGTGAGCGTGCATGCGTGAGTGTATGTGTGCACACGTGAGCATGCATGCGTGTGTGTGTGCATGTGTGTGCGCGTGCGAGCGTGCATGTGTGCGTGCAAACATGCTCGTGTGAGTATGTGCGCGCATGTGCAAGCGTGCTCGTGCGAATGTGTGTGTTTGTGCGAGTGTGTACGTGCTCGCCTCACAGAGATTAAATGTCACCAACAATAAGAGCAGCATCAGTTTTCCAATTGGATTGTCCGTCCTCTGGGGTGTTCCAAGGGTCTGCAGGTGTTTAAAGGAATTATCAGATGAGAGGAATCTTAACCACAAATCTATGGACTTTAGTAAGGCTTTGATCTCCTTCCTTAAGAAAGGACAGTGCAACAAAGAGTCACAGAACGGGGTTTGTGCTTTGAGCAGATCATTCAGTAAGGAACAATTGGGTTTTGGTTAATATTTATTCCTGAAAATCGTGATGTGGTTGTTATCAAGTTGTGGGAGCTTGCTGTGCACAATTGGGCTGCCACATTAAAACGCTGACTGCTCTCCCCCAGTAAAAAGCACTTGATTGCAAAGCAGAGATAGTAGGAACTGCAGATGCTGGAGAATCTGAGATAACAAGGTGTAAAGCTGGATGAACACAGTAGGCCAAGCAGCATCAGAAGAGCAGGAAAGCTGACGTTTCGGGCCTAGACCCTGATTGCAAAGCACTTTGCAGCCAATGTCCTAGGGATGTGAAACGCACTTTATAAACGGATGTTTGTGCTTTCTGTATGTTTTGAGATTGAAATGGGGAATGTCTGCTCTCCAGGTTATGGCCACACAACCCCAATCTCTGACAGGGGAAAGGCTTTCTCCATCTTCTTCGCTGCCCTGGGGGTCCCCTTCACCATGCTGCTTCTTGCTGTCATCGTGCAGAGGCTGATGATCTACCTGATGGATCAGCCAATCCGAGCACTCCAGGAGAGGTTTGGCTACTCGAACCAGCGAGTGACCCAGGTGCACTGCTTTGTGATGTTCCTGTTCGCCTTCATCGGCTTCTTCCTCATTCCCGCTGCCATTTTCAGTGCCATCGAGAAGGACTGGACCTACCTCAATGCCTTCTATTTCTGCTTCACCTCCCTCAGCACCATTGGTCTGGGGGACTACGTTCCCGGAGAGCAAAATAACCAGACCCTGCGGCTGCTTTACAAGATGTCAGTCACCTGTGAGTAACAGCTCCTCACCACTCTACTGTCTCACATGTCAGGCTGGAATCTCTCTCTATCTCTGTGTCTCTCACTGTCTTTCTCTTCCTCTCTGTCTCCTACTCTCTCCCTCTGTCTCACACTCTCTCTTTCTTCTCTCTCTGTCTCCGTCTCACACTCTGTCTCTCACTCTCTTCTCTCCGTCTCTCACTCTCTCTCTGTCTCACACTCTGTCTCTGGCTCACACTCTCTCTCTCTCTGCGTATGTGTGTGTCTCTCTCTCTCTCTCTCTCTCCCTCTCTCTGTGCTTTGCTCTCTCTCTCCCACCATCCCTGTCTCCCACTCTCACTGTCTTCCTTTCACTGCCTCTCTCTCTCTCTCTCCCTCCTGTCCCTCCAGCTTCTCTCTCTGTCTCTCTTTTGACACCCCCATCTTCTTTCTCTCCTGTGTCCTCTCGCCGTCTTTCCCGCTGTCTGCTTTTCTCTCTCTCCGTCTCTCTCTCTCTGCTTTTCTCTCCCTCCATCTCTCTCTCTCTGCTTTTCTCTTTCCATCTCTCCCTTTCCCTGCTTTTCTCTGTGCATCTCTCTCCCCCTCTCCCCATCACTCCTTCTTTCATTATTTCTCTCTTTCTCTACCAATTTCCCATGTGGAGCTCCCTCATTGTGTTAATTGAATCCTCTCTGAATGTCTAATCCCACCATCTGACTCAGCGTAACCCCAGGGGCTGGAGCTGGTGACGTGGCCGAACAAAGCAGCAAGTACAGGGTCTGAGCAGGAATGAGGCTGTGGAGGAAGTTTGGCGAATCGGCCCATCATCATTTGTCAACCCAACTTGTTTTGTTAAAGGAAGAACTTGCATTCATATAGCGCCAACCACAACCTTGGGACTTCCCATTTTTATAGCCTGTGAGGTACTTGTGGGAATGGAGCCAACAACAGTGTGCATTTATATGGAGCCTTTAAAGATACAAAACATTTAAAATGAGTGCTATGTTATGGAGATAAATATGCACTTGGTTTGCACACAGAAAGATCCCACAAACCGATTCATTTGTTTTAATCAGTGATAGACTCAAGGATCATGGGGGAAAGGTAGGAAAAATGGATTTGAGGATTATTAGATTGGCCATGCTCTCATTGCAGACTCGATGGACTGAATGGCCTATTGCTGCTCCTGTGTCTTACGGGCTGAATATGGTGTTAACGGCAGATAAATGTCCCTCAGTTTCCTTCAAAAAGAGTGTTGCAGGCTCCTTTGTGTCCAACTAAGTGAACAGATTGAGGGTCTCGGCTGAGGGAGATACCTCCAACAGTACTTTACTCCCTCAGCACTGACCCTCCGACAGTGCAGCTCTCCCTCAGCACTGACCCTCCGACAGTGCGGTGCTCCCTCAGCACTGACCCTCCGACAGTGCGGCGCTCCCTCAGTACTGACCCTCTGACAGTGCGGCTCTCCCTCAGCACTGACCCTCCGACAGTGCGGCGCTCCCTCAGTACTGACCCTCCGACAGTGCGGCACTCCCTCAGTACTGATCCTCCGACAGTGCGGCGCTCCCTCAGCACTGACTGACCCTCCGACAGTGCGGCACTCCCTCAGTACTGACCTTCCGACAGTGCAGCACTCCCTCGGGGCTGACCCTCCAGTTTTGCACTGTTTTATTGCTCACAGCTTCTGGAGCAAGACTTGAACCATGACCTCCTGACTCAGTAAAGTGCCTGAGGGAGCATGTGGCAGTCGCGAACATGGCTTTGACAGGAATAACGTTGATTTCTGCGTGGTTGAGTTAGAGAATAACTGTACATCTATATCTCTTGCAGTTTACCTCCTGTGCGGCCTCACCATGATGCTTCTCCTCATCCAGACATCCCAGAAGGCAGTGGGCCTGCACGTCCTGACCCAGATCTTCAACCTCCCTCTGGCTGACGATGAAGAGGAGGATGAGGAGCTTGCCTTAAATTCAACAGGCCCCCAACCCTCCCTCCAGCTCAATGGGCTGAAAGCTGGTCCCCGACCCCTCGCCCATCCCGAACCCCCTTCCTACAATTCCATTTTGCCCTCCAGCGATCGATGAGAGAACCAGAGACTGGGGCCTCTCCATGCCAGGACTGTTGGGACCTGTAAATGTGGTTGACATGGTGACTGGGTGGGGACAGGTAAAGGGTCAGAGGTAGAGGTTCGCGGCCTCTGCTCTTGAGGCCGAGTTGATTTGTGAGTTTGGCTAACAATGGGAATTGGGGGAGCCCCAGGGTTTTCTGTGTCACCACCTCTGCGTCCCCCACCCCTTCCCCAACTCTCCGTGCTCGCTGGCGAAGCCTTCTGTCTAGGCCCCTTGGGTGGAGGCGGCTAGCTCCCACTTCACCTTTCTGCCCAGATGGTATGTCGGTTCAGTCACCACGCCCCCACCCCCCCCTCCCCACCACCCCGGCCCCGTTACCACCCTCCTCCCTGACAAACCATGTCAGCCAAACCTAGCTCCGCCAACTCCAGTTTGTCCGGTGCCCCGAATCTCCTGGTAACATGAAGTTTGTTGGAATGTTGGCACAAAATGGTGCCACCTTTCCAAATCCTACACTTGAGTATTTATTGCAGTTGTATTTAAAAGCGGGAAGGGAACTGGCCAAGGAAAACCTACAGTGTCTTGAGCAAATGTGCCATCTGGCATGGCCTCGTGGGGCAGAGAATGAGAACTGCAACGATGCCCCAGTAGTCCATAGATGGCACAGAAAGAGGCCATTCACTCAACAAACTGCGTGTTGCTGTTCTACTTTGTACAGGGCCCATTGCCAAGACTGTCTCTTATCCAACGTCAAAATAGTATCTCCGTTCACACTTGGTATGCTGAGATCTACAACACTGTTTCTCATGTCTGCATCTCCCACCTCCACTCTCAGCAGTTCCTTCACCATGTGGCCTCCTGCTCATCACCTTCATTCTCACTGTCTAAATCCCCCATGTAATCCTTGAACCCCTGTGTCCTTACCCCATTCCAATCTGAGCAACTCCCTTCCTCCAGCGTTGCATTGTTCTCGTTCCCTCTCTTACTTCGGCCTAGATTTTCTTTGGACCTTCAGCATAAGGGGAGGTGAGGCCTATTCATCCAGGTAATGTTCCAGGGACCCGGGTTCGAATCCTGATGACGGAATTTGAATTCAATAAAAATCCGGAATTAAGAATCTAATGATGACTGTGAATCCATTGTCGATGGTTGGAAAAACCCATCTGGTTCACTAATGTCCTTTAGAAATGGAAACTGCCATCCTTACCTGGTCTGGCCTACCAGTGGCACTTAACTGCCCTCTGGGCAATTAGGGCTGGGTATTAAATACTGGCCAAGCCAGTGACATCCATGTCCCATGAATGAATAAAATTGCTCTGAATTGGTGCGTAACACATCCATGTTCATGTCAACTGGTCCTGGGTTTAAGCCCCACTATAAATTGGCAGAGGAACTCTCCCAGAAGCCTTGTTCAATATTTATCCTTTCACCAAGACCAAGACAGATTACCTGGCCATTAACGCTTCACAGTTCTCCCTATCTTTCTCTCTCCCTACTGTCCATCCTCAACCATCTGTGTATTGAACCTAGCTCAAAAGAGTGCCATGATGGTAGAATCCCTGCAGTACAGAAAGAGGCCATTTGGCCCATCGAGTCTTACCAATCCAACGAAGAGCATCCCACCCTGACCCAAGCCTCCATCCCTTCCCACGCCATCCCCATAACCTCAAATTTAGAATGGCCAATCGACTGAGTCTGCACATCCCTGGACACAATGGGGCAATTTAGCACGGCCAATCCTCCCTAACTTGCACATCTTTGTTGCCAAGGCTTTTCAACTTAAAAACATCAGGACACACATAAGAATAACATTTCAAAGGGATTACAACAATTTATATGACCCTAGTGGAAAGGTGATAATTGGCTGACAAGTGGACTCTGATTGGCCAATACATTGCCATGGAGTAGTCAATGGAGAATTATTGATTTCCAGAATTTGAGTAATTTGAACAAGGCACACAGGGCTTGAAAATGTATCTCTTATTTGCACAAAATGGGAATGGTGGGCAGGGAGAAAAGGGCTGCTGATTATTTCACAAGTTGACTCTGAATTATTGTTGTCCTCCTGGAATGTCAATGGCTGTGATTGTTTGAAATCTGACATTCTTGCATGGGTCCTGCTGAGAGCAACGCTGTCTTTTCAGTGAGATTCAAGTTGTGTACAATGAAGCGGCTCATTTTATATCTGGATTTCCTGCTCAAGCCTCTCCACTTGTCTCTCTCCCTCTAAGGTTCACCTCCAATCCCATAATTCTCAAACAAGGTGTCAGTTGCCCCTCCAGGTCTCACACCCTCCCGTACTTTGTTAATTTGCCTTTTCTTAGTTCCATATGCACCATTGCCCCAGGCCGACTGATGATGTGAAAGACAGAGTCGTTTAGCCCACTGTTACCTGATAGTCAGCCATTTGGACCCTAGGTTCTTGCCGAGGAGGAGTGGATACTCGGGGGTGGGGCTTGAAACTACATCCTCCGAACTGTACCCCTGCAATACTCACCATCTTCTGTCGAAAGGGAAACTAAAGGAGGGAATGGAGTTACATTTCACAGAATCATAAAGATGTACAGCACCGAATCAGACCCTTCGGCCAACTTCTCTATCCTGACCAGCTATCCTAAATTAATCTAGTCCCACTTGCCAGTATATGGCCCATATCCTTCTAAGCCCTTCATGTACCCATCCAGATGCCTTTTAAATGTTGTAACTGTACCAGCCTCCTTCACTTCCTCTGGCAGCTCGTTCCTCACACGCACCGCCCTCTGCATGAAAAGTTACCCCTTAGGTCCCTTCTAAATCTTTCCCCTCTCACCTTAAACCTATGCCTCTAGTTTTAGATTCCCTTACCCTGGGGGAAAAGGATCTTGGCTATTCACCCTATCCACGCCCCCCCATGATTTTATAAACCTCTATAAGGTCACCCCTCAGCCTCCGACACTCCAAGGAAAACAGCCCCATCTTATTCAACTTCCCCCTATAGCTCAAACCTTCCAACCCTGGCAACATTCTTGTAAATCTTTTCTGAACCCTTTCAAGTTTCACAACATCCTTCCAACAGCAAGGAGACCAGAACCGAACCCAAAGGAAGGGATGCTGTGAATGTAAAATCAGGGTTGCTGATTGTAGTTGGACGATCAACCAATCTCTCCATCTTCAACTAACTGTTAAATGAAGCAGATATTTATTTTCAGGTGGGGGTGCTGTTAAATTGTCCTATGACCCACCCACTGGTCAGCAGACCAAGGAGATTATATCTTAATCCTCAAGGATTTCAGGACATTTTTCAGAGATCCTGCACCAACTGGCTGTATTTATGACTGACGTGTTAGTGTGTTGCTCCTGATGTCAAGGTGACCTCATGCTTTGGGCTATTTTCAGCTTGTGACTAGTTTTGCCAGTGATCATTTGAATAATGACTCATCGAATGTGCATGTGTTTGTATGAGCGAGTGTCATTATCTCAAATCATCTTAGCTCTCACTAACACCCAGCCCTTGAAGATTACAAGGTGCAGAGCTGGATGAACACAGCAGGCCAAGCAGCATCATAGGAGCAGAAATGCTGACGTTTTGGGCCTAGACCCTTCATCAGAAAAATTGCAGAGATTAGATTGTTTGACTGGTCTTAGACTGTGTTCTCAGGGCTCTTGTGATGCAGTGGTTGCTCTGAGAGCGAGTTCAGCTCCCACCTGCTCCAGATGGTGTGCATGACAATCCCTAAATAGATTGATTTAAAACAAAGATAGTAGGAACTGCAGATACTGGAGAATCCGAGACAACAAGGTGCAGGGCTGGATGAACACAGCAGGCCAAGCAGCATCCTAGGAGCAGAGAGGCTGACGTTTCGGGCCTAGACCCTTCATCAGAAAAGGGGGAGGGGAAGGGGGTTTTGAAATAAATAGGGAGAGAGTGGGAGGCGGATAGAAGAGGGATAGAGGAGAGGATAGGTGGAGAGGAAACAAACAGGTCGAAGAGGCGGGGATGGAGCCAGTAAAGGTGAGTGTAGGTAGGGAGTTAGGAAGGGGATAGGTCAGTCCAGGGAGGACGGACAGGTCAAGGGGGCGGGATGAGGTTGGTCGGTAGGAGATGGAGGTGCGGCTTGAGGTGGGAGGAGGGGATAGGTGGGAGGAAGAACAGGTTAGGGAGGCAGGGACGAGCTGGACTGGTTTTGGGATGCGGTAGGGGGAGGGGAGATTTTGAAACTTGTGAAATCCACATTGATACCATTGGGCTGCAGGGTTCCCAAGCGGAATATGAGTTGCTGTTCCTGCAACCTTCGGGTGGCATCGTTGTGGCACTGCAGGAGGCCCAGGATGGACATGTCGTCTGAGGAATGGGAGGGGGAGTTGAAATGGTTCGCGACTGGGAGGTGCAGTTGTTTGTTGCGAACCGAGCGTAGGTGTTCTGCAAAGCGGTCCCCGAGTCTCCGCTTGGTTTCCCCGATGTGGAGGAAGCCACACCGGGTACAGCGGAGGACATCGACACTTCCGCCATCTGCAATCCGACCCCACCACCAAAGACATCTTTCCCTCCCCACCCTTATCTGCTTTCCGGAGGGACAACTCTCTCCGTGACTCCCTTGTCCGTTCCACACTCCCCTCCAGCTCCACCACACCCGGCACTTTTCCCTGCAACCGCAGGAAGTGCTACACCTGCCCCCATACCTCCTCCCTCACCCCCATCCCAGGCCCCAAGAAGACTTTCCACATCAAGCAGATGTTCACCTGCACATCTGCCAATGTGGTATACTGCATCCGCTGTACCCGGTGTGGCTTCCTCCACATCGGGGAAACCAAGCGGAGACTCGGGGACCGCTTTGCAGAACACCTATGCTCGGTTCGCAATAAACAACTGCACCTCCCAGTCGCGAACC